CATTCGTCCATTCGTCCATTCGTCCATTCGTCCATTCGTCCATTCGTCCATTCGTCCATTCGTCCATTCGTCCATTCGTCCATTCACTCATTCTCATATTATTTTCCCGCTTTCGGAAAGACTGAATCCAGGAGTTCTTGAATATGTCAAGCTCCGACACCAACGGCGTGGCTACTGGCCCCCATAGAGCACCATCCAGTTCTGACTCCATAAGAATCCCTCATTGTTTGTGAGTCAAACAATCTTTTTTTGGTATCTTCGCACCGTCAACACGTCCAATGCACGAACCACCGGCCACATGCGCGTCCATGTTACCATGCAGCTGTTAGAGACATTGCCCCTTTTCTTGCCCCTTGCACATCCGAAAACCATCATATACAACTCTTGAAACCAGCACATCGCAAAACGGCATTAAGATGTTACTGACTGCCGTAGTTCGCCTCCCCCAACCCCAGAACCACATGCAGGTTCCGGGGTTTTGAGGCCAGAACCGGATCCCACGACCCGAGGACCAGATTCAGGTTCCATGACTACGTATCCATATCTAGCATCTATAACTGCTGGGACAAATCTAGGCCCCGGATTCTCAAGCTCAAATCCAGGTGAAAGTGCTGCACAACCAAGTGCACTTCGTAGGGCACGCCGGTCTACTAGACAGGCTGTCTGGGCAAAGCAATTTCCGAGAAGAGACAGAGCACTTCCAGTAGCACTGAGTCCGAAGGCACGGAAAACTAGGACTGTGGCCGCGTGTACGAAGCCCTCCCCAAAGCACCTACAGAAATTGGACCCGTTCATGGGTCAACCATCATGGGGATCTGACTACGCTCGCCAAGCCAGAGCAGCAGAGAAGAGCATAGCGCGAGTGGAAAGGGCCAAGAAGTGCTTACAAAAACCCAAGTACCTGGCAAATCCTGCAGAGAACGCACAACTCCTCGCCACTGATCCTCTGAGAATTGCAGCGCAGACCGCAGAGGTTGTGAGTTGTTCCCGTGCCCCTAGTTGAACATGAACGCTGACAAGTGCCCCTGACAGGCAACGGACAGTTTCTGGTACGGCGATCCTGTGCCAATGAGCCAACGATACACCGGCCGCCAGTACTGGGAACATACCCGTGGTCGTCGGAAGCCTTACCCGCCAGCAGAAGCAGCTGCAAGCGCCCGGTCTTTGGAGTTAATCCACCCACGCAAGGCCGTGTGCAAGGTCAAGGCTAAGGGACACGAGGCATATCACAGGCGCAGACGTGGCTAGCAATGCTTGAGGGTGACAGTACGCCTGCTTCGAGGCTTTGCAGAGGAAGGAATGGGTAATCGTATTCTCTACCTACTCAAGAAAGCCCAGGGCAACGCTGCGATATTCCCAAATGTGGTTTTGATCCTGAGACTATCGATAGACGTGAAACAAGTGGATAGGAAAAAACGAGGTAACGCCGATACTGCAAATCCTAATGTAGACACCTGAACGCGCGCAATGTAGAGAAAGGCCTCGTGATTAAACAAAGTAGATAACATCCGACCATGGCCCAATCATGGGTGGACGCATGTTGCTCGATTGCGCGACCGCGAGTTGCCATGTTCCCTGCAAGGAGCCCTTTCGGAGCCTCGCGTCAACCACTTCCCAGTAGCCAGCCGCCTATCCCCACCACTCATTCGCACCTTGCTTGTTCTCCAATCGCCGAAAAAAAAAAGGGGTTTAAATCGTTCTTGTTGTGGTTCTTGTTGTGATACAGAGCAGTTCCCACGAGGTTGTGACAGGACAGCCCACCCGACAATTGGAGGGTTGCAGAGGTGACTGGCACAGCCAACAACGCCCCCGACGCCTCGTACATTGAAAGTCGGGTTACAAGCGGGTATCGTAGAAGCATCCAGGGCACTCGTCCTTCGTGTATGCCAAAGGAGTACAAGGAAATGTCATGAGCCGTGACTCCTGTGGCCCATTTGTTGTTCGTGATTATTATAAATGTCTCAAAAGGGTATTCATGCTGCAATAGAAGAGAAGTCGTTTAGATAAGACCACAGAGGCGAAGGTTCTCCTGAATGATGATATCTGCCATAGTGAGCGTCTTGCCATGGTGAGTTTACGTCGATGTTACATACCGTTTACCGCAGCCATGACGAACCGGATCTGGGTGGTGTCAGTTGCACATGTGAAGTGCGTGTAGATTTGCTTGGTCTCATGCTGATTCAAGCTAACGAAGCGGTTGAGAATGTAGTCGCAAGCCGCCGCGTAATCGTCACCGCCCTCGTAGTCAGGGAAGTAATTCTTCATAGGGCTGACGGGCAACTTCTCCTTGAATCTGTCGATCTTGTTCAGGAACAGAATGATGGAGGTCTTGATGAACCACCGAGAGTTGCAGATCGAGTCGAACAGAGTCAAAGCCTCCTGCATACGGTTGACGGTCTCATCCTCGAAGAGAAGCTGGTCGTACTCGGAGATGGCGACTAGGAAGAGGATGGTTGTGACATTCTCGAAGCAGTGGATCCACTTCTTGCGCTCAGACCGCTGACCACCGACGTCGAACATGCGGTAGGTCAGGTCGCCGATGATGAAGGTTGTCTCAGTGATACCAGTTGTCTTCACTCGCGATCGGAGAACATCCTGGTCGTTTGGCATGTAGTCCGGAGCCGCGATGCGGGCGATATTGTCGAAGTAGCTGACCATGTTAGCCGACAATTAAACCCATACTAGGCACTTGTGCAACCCACTATCGCGCCGAATCGTTGAGCTGGTATTCGCGCGAGCGCTTGAAGCACTCTTGCACACCACGATCCTTCCATAGAGCCTCAATGGCGCTGCCAACCTCAGGAGGCAGGACATCTCCTTCAATCTGTGCAGGCTGCATGAAGATGGTTTGGACGTGATACTCCATGCGCTGATCCTCCAGCGGCAGCTCGAGGGACTCCATGGCCTCAAGGATGACGCGCATCGATTGCACGGTGTTGCTGAAAATGATCTCTTTAAACGATTCGCGCTCGTCCCTAGAGTAGCCTCCCTCGTGAATGAGCTTCATCTGCTTGAGGATCGTCGACTTTCCGGATTCACCGGCACCTGACCGCACTTAGTAATTGAACACGCGCCCATGCTGTGTGAGACCTACCCAGAAGCAGCATCTTAATCTCGTTGCGCTGCATCATCTTGTCGCGCTTGAGCTGGTTCTCAATCTCCTCGTTGCGGGCCTTGCCCTCCTTCTCTTCAGTGCTCATGCCACAACCCATCTTGTCGATTAGTTGGCCTTCTCAGGTCCGCGCTGGGAAAATAACTTGAAATCGCGTCGAGCTGACCAGACAGTGGTATCGTGATGTCAGCGAACCTAGCAAGGGGTATGTGTTAGCTGTCTGGCATTAGACCCCCGTCGTTGCCGGCGCGAGCAGGTAAGAAAGAGCCCGAGCGCCCAATGCTGCGAAACACGCCCGCAGTACTCTTCAGTGTACATAAAAAGCAATCGACGGCTACAAATAGGCCTTTTTGAAGTATCTGTCACGATTGCGAGTGGCGCGTGGATCGATTTGCGGCGGAGGAAAGCATGGGTCGCCGACATTGTGCCATGTCAATCGCTCAGGGGAAGAAGGCAACGGAACTCACCAATACTATTGACGATGACAGGACGAGCGTTGGCATACACGCCTAACTGAAGAGATTGGTGATGATGAGGAAGGGAGGGTTTCCGTTCGGTCTGTCGGTCACTCGGTTGGTTGGTTGGTTGAGAGTAGGACGAGGATCGAGAACGGGAGTAAGAAAATAGACAAGGAGGAAGGGGAGGAGATTCGACAAAGAAGGTCAGACCAAGGACTGGAGGGAAATGAATGGATTGCGCGACAGCTTGGGGTTGGAGATTGGATTGGCTAGGCTCGCCTGGGACAAGCAGGCGACAGTGCGCTAGGCTCCACACACACCACGATTCACTGAACGCTCCCGCTCATGGCGCTACCCATGTCAAGACCGACGGATCATGGCCTTCGGACGGGCATTTCGTACGGAGGTACTGGATTCTACAATGACTGCCCTATTCAGGCTATCCTCCAGCGGCCGTTGTCCTTCTCAAAACGGGTTTCTTGGCCAAGGTTTCTGGGCAGTATCATGCGACGTTCTTTCCACAGCTCCGGCGCACTGTATGCTCTTGTCCCAATGCAGGCGTGACTCGCTGTTTCTGTGTGGATGCACAGTGCGTCGGCATCACCATTTCTTCAACGTAGATCGGATCATTATGATTTCTGCCTAGTCATTCCCATATCGCGGCGTCGCATACGTGTTTTAGACTATATTGACTCAGTAATTACTTACTCAACATCATGAAGCAGCATTGACCATTATTCAGACTGCAGTTATGGCAATGCTGCCATGAAACTCTTTGATACGCCAGTTGTTGTGAGCCTTTCGCGAAAAACATCAAGTGCAAAGAGCCTCGCCGTCGTACAGCGCCCTCAGTGTCGCAGATCCACACCCAGTCCTCAGTTCCGCGCTGCCCCTGATCGCAGAGTCAGACACAGCGCCACGATGTTCAGTGGGGTGTTACTGGCAGAGAGCCAGAGCCTAGAGGAGTAGAGGCCCGTTGCGGGACTGGAGCCCCTGGCAGTGGGACCAGGAGCCTTGACTCCTGAGCCGAGCTGCTAGCCTACACTTGCGGCCAATTGAAGCTGAGTGATGCGATATGAGCTCCAGTATTTAGGAGGCGCGCTCGTTTCCAGCTCAGTGTAATTAAGCATCCCCGCCACGGACTGATGCATTCCTACGTACAACTAACATGGCTTCTCAACGCGTTCAATCGATTCGAGCTTCGCAAACGCTTGTAGCTTGCGTTCACAACTTAAACGGCCACTAGAGCTGAATGATCAAGCCGGAAACTCCTTGTGGAAACAGAAGAGTGGGCATTGAAGAGGAGAAACTGGGGGAGATTTGTGCGAGTACTCTCAGTATGTCCTCATCGATCTACGGTAGGCACAGACTTGCGGAGGCGATGAGTGTCGGGACATATAATAGTTGCGAGGCTACCAATCTCAAAAAAAAAAAAAAGTTCCTCGGTCCTGGATGCTTGAAATTTGCGAGCCAGTTACGAATCAAGCACTCATCGAAAGAGCCGCTTGGGTAGACAGACTGGAGTTTGTTCATCCACACAGGCATTACCACCAGCTCTGAAGGTCAACCGGCTGCCTCGCCATGGCCCATAACAGCGGCAACCTGCCGTTTCAGTCCAAGCACGGATACTCAACAGGGACCTGTTGCCTTTCCCAGTGACATGCGCGAAGCCGCTACTAAATCGACACTCGCCCAGGGGTTGTATTCGAGGCGAGAGAATTTCCCAGAAATGAGGTCGTGACTCGCCTGGTGCTTCAATAGTCGCTTGGAAGACCCCATCACGGCGCGGTGAGAGACGCATCTGCCCGAGTGCTCCGCTACGGGAGGCTCATGTATCCGTTGGGCCATGGCTCAATTAATTATAATCACTACCTGTGAAATTTCCTGGAGCCACAAATGCGAGTCATTGATGCCAGATGGTTAGAAAAGCGTCCCCGCAACCATCTCTCCTGACCAGGATTGCCACGCTAACATCCGACAACAGCCTATAGATCTGCACGAAATTTGATGGGGATTGGAGAGCGGGCTTGGCAGTACGAAAATCGTGAAGCCTATTCCAATCTTCCACGCGCTGTGCAATCGCGGAACCAGCGCAAGTCGCAAGTCCCAAGGCCCACGCGCGCAACAACTAAATGTGTGCTCTTGGTCCAGCCCTGTACGGATAGGTTGATGGCATCAATACCCGTACAGCAACATGGCTATGGCGGAGTTTAAAACTACCAAGAGCTGGCGTTGCTAGGCTTGTACGGATATAAAGAAGTAATCAGAGCTGAAACTTACCGCCGAGTTATTTCCAACGCACAGCAGCCTTCATCACTTCCCCGTAATCTGGAGTTTGCTACGTAATTATAGCCGTACCTACTCCGTACTCTGCAAAAGAAGACTCGCAACTCGGTACCTTTTCTGACGAGTATGTCGATTCCTGTGACTGACTTGCCGTCGTGATAAATACAGGGTCGGTGTAAGTATCAAGCAGAAGCCGTAGCAAAACCAGTGAGCAGCAGTCCATCAAGACTCAAGTCAGGGACAGTTAGATGAGTTGTGTGTTTCTCGAGATCCTGCCAATGGGCTTCTCGGCGAGACGTGTCGTTAAGTGTATAGTATGAAGACGCGTGTAAAGTCCTCATGCACGAAAACTTGTGCCACGTAGGCATGTTGCAACCGAAAAGGCAATCTGAAAAAGCTCGTCAACTGCTTGTAAGTTGTACAAGCCAGTCTGCCAGGTCATGTGTGTACGGCGGTACGCTCTTTGGATTCTCGCCGCATTCTGCAAGGCCCAGTAAGGGTCCACCGTGAGAATCTCTGGATCTCGCTGATCGGCTGTAGTCCCGCCATTTTGCCCTGACCCCTGCATTCAGACCCAACCTCTCACCTCCTCTCCAACGACCTGCGCAGTCCTCGTCCGAAGGCTGGCCGGCGTTATTAGGTGCAGATTTCACGCACGCAACAACGCGCAGGGCCGATAGACAGTGCGTTGGACGTACGCAGCAACCGCAATGGCTTTCGAGATGTCGCGGCTAGGCGGTCGAGGTAAGCTCCGTTGCCAAACCCCTTGGCTACCCAGCAGAGCAGGATTGACTGACACAATGACAGCCCTGAACCGAGACGCTGGCGGCCATGGCAACGAGGACGATGTTGAGCGCGAATACGATCGTCTGCGCGATCTAGCGCGCGCTGAGGCGGACAAGCGCAACGACTGTTTCCGACGTGTTCGTCCCGCCATTCACCGCGGCTGCATCCAAATCTGACAAAGTTCCAGTCCAGGCAAGCCTACGAGGACGGAGATGGTGCCGGTGCTAAAGAGCTGTCCAACCAAGGCAAACGTCATGACGCGACAATGGACGACTACAACCGCCAAGCGTCTGAATTTATCTTCCGCGAGAACAATGCTGCCGGCCGTAATGAGGCTGATGTCATTGACCTCCACGGCCAGTTTGTCGAAGAGGCCGAGCGGATTCTCGAGCAGCGCATTCGCGCTGATCAAGCTGCGGGGCAACACCATCTTCACGCCATCGTTGGGAAAGGAAATCATTCTGACGGCCACGTGCAGAAGTTGAAACCCAAGGTCGAGGAACTCTGCCGGGAGATGGGTCTGAACTACCGGACAGAGGAGAACGCGGGAAGGATCTTCATCAACTTGCAAGGAGGCGAGCCGCAAGGGCCGCAGGAAGTACCAGTCTACCACGGTGGCCAGGGCGGTCAATCTGGCTACCCCGGAGCGCCTCACAGTGGTCAACAGCAGCACGGCGGGCAACACCATGGCGGACACCAGCAGCAGCAGGATCAGCAGCAGGATGAAGTGGAGGAGATGGTCAAGAAGCACTTGCCTCGCTTACTCAAAAAGCTTGAGAAGCATTGTTGCGTTGTCATGTAAGCAAAGGTACTAGGTAAGCAGTTCCGAGGCTTGCTTGTGGTTTTGGCATAATTATACCATTTGCGTTTGTTTATACAATTGTTTTGAATCGAGATAAGACTTTCACGCAGTTATCAGCAGCAAATTGACTTGGTCCGCATTGATCAAAATCTACCAGCACCCTCCGAGTTCGCCGCATTGCTCCACCAACCGACTTTCAATAGTCTGCCAGGCCAAAGCAACCGAGGAGGTCGTACAGAGCAACAGAACGACAAGCCTCAGGTACATTTCTGGGAGTCTGGCCCTGTCCTTTTCAACGCTCATTGAGCCTTCATGCGCGCGTGCGCCGCTCTCGCAACTGATGATCCTCCTTGGGCGCATGAGGCACCTTTGCGAGAGTCACACCAACGGCCTCGCAGATCAGGACCGCCAGCATCTCCATGATCACACTTGAGCCAAGAAACAGCCAAGCTGACCCTTGATGTCCGCCCAGAACGAGAACACATGAGTATGCGAGGCGGACCGCCACAAACGGTATCGAAACAAAAACGGCGAACAAGATGCGGTGCTCTCCTTGTGAGATGTATCCCTGGTTTAAAAGGGCAATGGTGGTAACAAGGATGACCATGGCGAAGACCGGGACCATCAGGGCTATGCCAGCCTTGCTCAGTGTTGCGTACGAAACCTGCACATGTCCTCCTTGCATTGTCATATTCGAGTTTGCGCCACCGACAAGGGTAAATATGACTGCCAAAAGCATCGTGAGCCTGATGAGGCGTTGATATAAGGGTCTGACAATAACATGTCCTTGCCGATTGATCGAGTCGTAACAACGCCCGAGCATGCCAAGAAGCAACAGCATCAAAGGACCTAGAGCGACTCCATTGAGTACCTGCCAGCCAACGTAGAGACTGACGTCGCTAGGGTTTGAAATTGTGGCTAGTCGAAGCGCCGCGCCCAAGATGCGGGCGATGGCGAAAATGACAAGGTAGACCCATCCTGTGGTGCGCCAGACGCCATGTTTGAAGCAGAGGTGGATGCCAACTACCAGGAAGAAGGCGTAGATGGTGACTTCTGCAATTGAAATGTGATCATACTTGTCAAGCGAACGAGGCATGGTACTTGTAGATTAGGGGGAGGAAGTGATCTGATGATAGCGATGGAAACGTGAGCAAGTGAATTGGCATTGGAGAGCTGAGCTGGGGATCGATGCAGATACCCAACATATTTATAGAGAAGCAACATGATCACCTCATTGCCAGCCAAAGCACCCTTGCGTCGCTGAGTTGAATATTTCGAAGGGCGCGTCAGCAACGAGGCCTTTCATCAAGAAACACTGCCCACTTTGAGGTGCCGCTTTCCGAGAAACTGTGAATACAATCTGACATTGCCACACGCGACAGCCCTATCACTATGGCTGGGTGGGTTGGTACCTCTTGCTTGATATCCGACAACTCCAGCTTGAGGCTCGCCTCGAAACGTTTGCTCCTTGTGGAATGGTCTCACTTCATCTTCTCAGCTGTCGTCACGGACTCGGGGAACAGCGACGAATCAGAGTGATCAGAACCAACGTACGGAGTAGTGCGTGCGTTCCCCGTCCAGCGGATCTGTCAAGTGTTAGTGCTGACAGCCTGGATCCATCATGTTCCTGGTCCTGCACGGCAGTCGCTGCGATGCCGTCTTCCGAGAGAGTGGGAGTTCAAATAAGCCTTGCAACAGCCTTATGGTTTTGCTCGAATCAATGTCCGAAACTGGTCAGATCCCTGGCGCCAGTCTTGGCGCCCATCTCTCGCAGTCGAAACACGTGCGCAAAAGGCCCAGACGCGTATTGGCAGTGAGTTATAAATGGAAAATGAAGACAGTTTCGACAGTGTTTTGTTCTACGTACCAGATATGCTGACGTCGGTGTGGCTTGCACATTGAATTAATCTTGTACGGGTTGGCGGGGCACGAAGTGACCAAGCTTCGGCCCCTCCACACGCTTGACCCAACTTTGGAGAAAGCACTTTTCTGCACGATCTGAATGCTGCGATGCCGGTAACATCCCCAGCCTGATGGCTTTGGTATGAACGTTACTCACATTTCTCGCAGCTGATCATTGTGACCGGATGGCCGACATCAGGGAAGACGACTCGCTCGAAACAGCTGCACGAATACCTTGCGAAGCGCATCATTGACACCAAGTATCGCCTGCACTTCATTTCAGACGACAGCCTCTCGATATCCCGAAGCGTTTACGACCTCTCGCCTGACAAGGTCCCGGCTCATACGCGATCAGCTAACGCTTCGGAGAAGGATGCGCGAGCTGCCATCTACGGTGCCGTGAAGCGGGTGCTGAGCGACAAGGACATCGTCATCCTCGACGGCTTGAACTACATTAAAGGATGGCGTTATCAGCTGCACTGCGAGGCCAAGGCAGTGCGGACCCCAAGCTGTATCCTGCAGATTGGCTGCGCCAAGGACAAGGCGAAAGAGATCAATGAGGAGAGACTGAAGCGGAAAGAGGCCGGGCACATTCTCGCCGAGGGCGAGCCAGAACCGTACGACCCAGGAAACTGGGAGAATCTTGTTTTCCGACACGAGGAGCCGAATCCTATGACACGGTGGGATAGCCCGCTCTTCGCCCTGGTGTGGGATGACAACGAGGACCAAACACGAGAGGTGTTCGATACCTTGTGGGACTCGATCGCTGGGGAAGGACGCAAGGTCATCCAACCGAACCAGGCTACGTTGCAAAGGGGCCGAAATGAGGGCGGTGACTATCTCTACGTACTTGACCGTGAGACACAAGATGTCGTCAAACGAATATTGGACCAGCAAGACGACGAAGGTGGCGGCGAAGTCAAGGTACCATTGACCGCTGAAGGCAAGGAGAACCTTGTCGTAAATTTGCCCGTAGGTCAAAAGGTTGGCCTGCCCCAGCTGCAGAGGCTTAGAAGAGCTTTTGTTGGTCTGAATCGGGGTGGTATTGGCCTAGAGGCGGTGGGCAACATGGCTAGCGACAGATTAAGAGAAGCCTTCGTACGGCATCTCAACAGTAGTTTCGATCAAGATGAATGACACACGCTAGCCACGGGAGCTTGATAGACACTGTTGAGAAGTCACCTGGTCACCTGTGAGACTTGCCAACCGCTTACTATTCACGATGCCCTTACTGTGAACAGTGGGCCGTTTAGTAAAGCATTTTTGTAAGTCTCGAATGTTCGAGCCGTGAGTCAGCTGCCAGTGCTTAAAAAAAATCGAGGCCTGTAAAACACGGCGACGTGATGGTTGGCGGACATAGGCATCTTCCAAGGTATGCATGTGTCCAGATTCCATGACTCCGTCCAGGTGGTTGCGTCGTCCGTCTTCTGCCTGGGCGCTGTCAGCACCGGAGGTGGAAGCTTCTGCCGCCTTCCACTACGGATATACATGAGAGCACCGCCTTGTTGAGCGTGAATGCAGGTACCGAGACCCTGTCGTGCACCCTGCGCGTCATTGATATTCCGCCCCGCTCAGCACTCACGGTGAGATCATTGGCCCGCCGGCCTTGCCTCGCCGTCACCTCTGCAACTCGTCAACCAGCTGTTTGCCTGTGAGGACAGCTTGGGATCTGCACACCTTCAACCATCAAACCCTTTTCTTTCCTTCCCACATTTCTTCACAGCAAATTCGTCACCAAATCACTGCTCTTCTTGTTTCGCACGTTCACGAGACCGCCTCACCTGCTACCTCTGACTTGACAGGTGCCCGGTTCCGAACATCGCACGATAATCAACCACACAGCTGCAACTAAGCAGATTCGACACCAAGATGGCTCCCGAGGAGGACAAGAAGAAGGTCAACTTGACGTAGGTTTCTACACCAAGCGATTGCAATTCTTGCGCCCTACGTCCTGTGCCAAAGGCTCGCAACATGCTAACAACACCGTAGTGATCCTTCTGGCTCCGCCATCAAGAATGTTTGTCTCACGCAGGTGTATGACCGCATCGAGGGTACTAACATGGTCTAGGAGAATGATGTGTCTACCGCGATTCTCAAGAAGAAGAAGAAGGATAATCAGTTGATGTGCGTATTTGAGTCATTACATCACAGCCGTGGAGATGAGCTAACGTTGGTCAAGGGTTACCGATGCCACAAACGACGATAACAGCATTATCGCCCTGTCAGAGGCTACGATGGACACACTGCAGCTCTTCCGTGGCGATACTGTTCTGGTCCGTGGAAAGAAGCGCAAGGACACCGTTCTTATCGTCCTCGCAGACGACGAGCTCGACGATGGTAGCGCCCGCATCAACCGCGTTGTTCGTCACAACCTTCGGGTCAAGCATGGCGATATGATCACCATTCACCCATGCCCCGATATCAAATACGTACGTGACTCCGACGACAGTTGGTGACGCCGACACTGACATTCTCTTCAGGCTAAGCGGATCGCGGTCCTCCCCATTGCCGACACCGTCGAGGGTATCACCGGCTCTCTTTTCGATGTTTTCCTCGCCCCGTACTTCCGGGAAGCGTACAGGCCCGTGCGCCAAGGAGACCTCTTCATAGTACGTGGAGGCATGAGGCAAGTGGAGTTTAAAGTGGTGGAGGTTGATCCTCCAGAGTACGGTATAGTGGCTCAGGACACAGTCATCCACTGCGAAGGCGATCCAATTGAGCGCGACGAGGAGGAGAACAACCTGAACGAGGTCGGCTACGACGATATTGGTGGCTGCCGCAAGCAGATGGCTCAGATTCGTGAGATGGTTGAGCTTCCTCTCCGTCACCCGCAACTTTTCAAGTCCATCGGTATCAAGCCCCCGAGAGGTGTTCTGCTATACGGCCCCCCTGGTACCGGTAAGACTCTGATGGCTCGTGCTGTTGCGAACGAGACCGGTGCTTTCTTCTTCCTCATCAATGGCCCTGAAATCATGTCCAAAATGGCTGGTGAGTCCGAATCGAATCTGCGCAAGGCTTTCGAGGAAGCCGAGAAGAACTCTCCCGCCATCATCTTCATCGACGAAATCGACTCGATCGCTCCCAAGCGTGAGAAGACTAATGGTGAAGTTGAGCGTCGTGTCGTCTCCCAGCTCCTCACTCTGATGGATGGCATGAAGGCTCGCTCCAACGTCGTTGTGATGGCCGCCACCAACCGTCCCAACTCTATCGATCCTGCCCTGCGTCGTTTCGGCCGTTTCGATCGCGAGGTCGACATTGGCATCCCTGACCCTACTGGCCGTCTTGAGATCCTCCAGATCCACACGAAGAACATGAAGCTCGGTGATGACGTCGATCTGGAGCAGATCGCCTCTGAGACACACGGTTATGTCGGTTCTGACGTGGCCGCCCTGTGCTCGGAGGCTGCCATGCAACAAATCCGTGAGAAGATGGATCTGATTGATCTTGACGAGGATACCATCGACGCCGAGATTTTGGATTCGCTTGGTGTAACCATGGAGAACTTCCGCTTTGCCCTTGGCGTATCCAACCCCTCTGCACTCCGCGAGGTCGCTGTTGTCGAGGTACCCAACACCCGCTGGGAAGATATTGGTGGTCTCGAGGGTGTCAAGCAGGACCTCCGCGAGTCCGTTCAATACCCCGTCGATCATCCAGAGAAGTTCCTCAAGTTTGGCATGTCGCCATCGCGAGGTGTCTTGTTCTTCGGTCCTCCGGGTACCGGTAAAACGCTGCTGGCAAAGGCCGTTGCCAACGAGTGCTCTGCCAACTTCATCTCCGTCAAGGGCCCTGAGCTGTTGAGTATGTGGTTCGGAGAGTCGGAGAGCAACATTCGTGATATTTTTGACAAGGCTCGCGCTGCTGCCCCTTGCGTTGTCTTCTTGGACGAGCTCGACTCAATCGCCAAGGCTCGTGGCGGCTCCATGGGTGATGCTGGTGGCGCCTCTGACCGTGTCGTTAACCAACTGCTCACCGGTAAGTTCCATCAAGAATCCCCCAAAGTCAAACCTTGCGTACCTAACATGCTGTAGAAATGGACGGAATGACGTCCAAGAAGAATGTCTTCGTCATTGGTGCGACCAATCGTCCTGAGCAGCTTGACCCTGCACTTTGCCGTCCTGGACGTCTGGACTCTCTCATTTACGTGCCGCTGCCCGATGAGCCTGGTCGTCTCGGCATCCTCAAGGCTCAGCTTCGCAAGACCCCTGTCTCCGACGACGTCGACCTTGGCTACATTGCGGCCAAGACCCACGGCTTCTCCGGTGCCGATTTGGCCTTCATTGCCCAGCGTGCCGTCAAGATTGCCATCAAGGAGGCCATCACTGCTGATATTGAGCGCACCAAGGCTCGAGAGGCCGCTGGCGACAACGAAATGGAGGTCGATGAGGACGTTGAGGACGCCGTGCCTGAACTGACCAAAGCTCACTTCCAGGAGGCTATGCAGATGGCTCGTCGCTCGGTCACTGACGTCGAGGTGCGCCGTTACGAAGCCTTTGCCCAGCAAATGAAGAGCGCCGGCCCCGGCGCTTTCTTCAAATTCCCCGAGGGTGACGAGGCCGCTGCCGGAGGTGATTCGAACAATGCCTTTGGTGATGCCGGTAACGATGACGACCTCTACAACTAAGCAAAGGGTGCATGCATGTTCGGGGATGAAGAGACTCAATCCTTTGTATTCTACACTTACGCGAGACCATCTGCACTCACGTCTGTCGGAACGAGGAGCAACCTCGTCACGCTGGAGTTGGTGTGTACGGAGGTGAACCATGGCGGGCTATGCAGGGTACCCGCAGACGAGGTCACCTAGTATGCAGATTGTGTTGCTACATAATTCGGTAGACTCGACCCCAATGATAGAAATGAATGAATTTCACGATGCATTTACTCAAGCAAGGTTGCAAGCATGTCTCCATCATGTTTGTCCATAGAAGGACGATTACTATAGACAGTTGAAATTTCGCGTAACTCGTGTCGGATCGTTTGTAGCCGTGCCAGCGTCATCTTCCCCTTCACACAGCGGGCTCCATACAGTCAGCTGTGCAATCTGCTCGAACGTTGAGCTTCAATGGACATGCCCTCCGCGCACCATTAGAACCACCTTCTCTCCCCCCCAACACGCCTCTAGTCCTGGGAGTGCCCCTTGCCCTCCGTCTCGCTCACCGCCTTCGCTCGCGGCGAGCCACACCGTCAAACATTGCCGTTCTCATCCACCTCGCAGACATTCTCGAGACTCTCCCGGGTGACGCGGAGCGCCTCGTCTATGACGTATTGTGGAATCGCCAGGCTGACCTTGTCGCCACTGGGGCCCTTTGCCTGCTTCGACTTGTCGCCGTTGGTGCCGTTCGTGTTTGACACCGGGTGGACAGACACATCTGACTCGGCGCGCACATCGGACAGAACACGTCGGAGAAGCTCAGGGTATGTGGATATCTCGCCCGACCGTAGGAGGGACAGGGCGTGGCTGCGCAGGGTGGTCGGCCAGTTGGACGGGGAGGCGTGCAAAGAGTGCAATAGGGCTTCTTGGATTCTAGACCGATCGAGTCAGTCAGGAGCGCGACGGTGGGGGAGGGAGATTATAGCGAGACATAGAAGTTATTGGGCGACATACTTTGTAGCGTGTCCGTCACTGAGGAGGATTGTGTTGATCTGGGATCGCATGTCGGGGTCGAGGACGCCATTACTATATGATGCCGCCGACGAGGGCACTTTGACGGGTGTGGAGGGATTAGAATTCGCCATGGCTTCTGCGGACGCTGGCGGAGCCAGCTAGGCCGTGGTTCGTTGTGGCAAGAGCCGTGAGTAGTATATATTGAGAGAACGACGTGTCTGTCAATCGCAAAGGGTGGCCCGTAGGCGAGGAGCGTTGACGAGTCGAAATCGGCTGCGGTGGCTCAGCGGGGTTTGTGGATTCTTCTCTAACTAAGTGCGTTGCAGCAGGTGGACTTGTGCTGCGGTGATGAAGAGCTGTGCGCAGGTGTGGATTTAGAAACGAGCTTGGTGATGTGCTTGCTACCAATGGTCGCTTTGGTGGTGTGTAATAGTGGCAAGGCTGAGATGGGGAGGTTTTCGGGAGACGCCAGTGAGGCAAGGCTGAGGGTCACAGAGGTGGGGCAGACAGGCACGTAGCTCCCTTGCCTGAGGTGGGCTTGCCCCGGAGTTGGATCAACGACTGGACATGTGACTAGATAGTGATACTTGACTGCAACGGCAACGGCAACGGCAACGGCATTGGCGATAGCTTTTCCTGTTTTTGCTAAGCATTTTGCAAAACATCAGACATACGAATTTCCACAGCGCCCGAGTGCGCAAGGGATCCAACATGACCCCACCGCCGGGACAACGACAATCTTCCTCCAAGCCTGGGCTCTGGATCTAATACTCGTCCTTGCAGACTGGACACAGCCTTGCTTCCAAGACACACTCGAGTGCCAGAAAAGAGACCGCGGTACTATCAACACTCGGTGATTGTTCACTTTAAGATAGTCGTTGATGGAATTATTCACACTCGTGGAGATGACGGCCTCGCTATGGGAAGGCCGCAATAGTGGCGTTTGAGGTCAACCCGTGCCCATCAGGATCAATATGACTTGTCGTGAGTGTAAGAAGTCTGCGGCTCGGTCCTTTGAGAATTTGGAAGGATCTAAACCATGCCTCCAACAAGAACCTTGAGCATCACCAATCGATCGTACAGTCTCAGGCCTGAACCCGAGGTGACAAAGACGCACGGTCAGGAACAGAAAGAAAGACTCTCAAATAACGTGAGGAGCGACAACTTTGGACCGGCAGCATTAGGCGGGCCTCGCTATTTGATGAGAACGCCAGACCGACCGCTTCAAGGCACACTGCATTCGCTGCAATGGATCGACTCGCCCAAGAAACCCTTCCAGTGTGACGCGGTGACCGAACAAATGTCATGCTAAAGCTACACGCATCACATGAGTCGTGCCAGCCGCGGGCCCCTCGGAAAGTTGGTCGCCTTTAGGAGACCTAGGTAATGCACCCGTCCAAGCGCAAAAGCAAGTCTCACTACGTCGTCAGAAAGAGCAGGGAACCGACAAGCCACCGCGCCCTATGGCTGTTGCTTGAGGGCGGTGAGCAGCAATTCGGAGGCTGTGGCTGGATTGATAGAACACAACAAGAAGAAGAAGAAGCACATCGAAACTTGCAATCAAAAGCAAGATGGCGGCTCCAGCTAACCTTACTCAATCCATGTTTCATCGCTCTTGGCTAGCATGAGCTTGGTCCTATCTTGGAGCCCCGCGATGCACGATGGAGCTGACCGCCCCTCTACGTACAAGTATTCGCCAAAGAGACTGGAGCGCGTGGTCGTGCGCTTGTGGGTAATCGCTGCGTGCGCGCGATGCTGCGGTCGGAAGATGACAGACCGTTCCAAGGTCACGTACAACGAGACAGCTCGGTGACCAGTCAGTCATCCGTTGGGCGCGAGAGTTCAACTGTCATTCTCCTGTTCCATCCGTTGCATTTGAGCCTGACCAAATCCACAACATCAGGCAGCGTCAGGTTGCCCTCGCATATCATGCCTCTTGGTGCATTGGACACGGTGTGGTCTGGTTGCGGATGTTGCATAGACACAGTCAATGGTTGGATGGATCGCCAAAGCTGCACCAGTCCGAGCTGAAGCAAACAGGATGCAAGAGACGAATCCGTCCGAATGCCCGTTCCGCAATAGCTATCGCTACGTGTCATCGTCTGATATGGTTGGTGAGGGCAGGTTCCACCACGAAGTGTCTTCTTTGTACCTGTGAAGAACCTGCTTTCAAAACTAAATTCTCTGGTTAACCTACCCATTGGCCGAGTCAATGGAATGCTCCCGGGGTACTCCTTGACTGTTCTGGCACTGGCTAGTAGAGATGGGATAGCGTTGGACGCTATGTCATGGCGGGATTCCATGAGAGAAGAGGAAACACCAGTCCGCCATTTCCGAGTGTGACCTGGGCAATGATGAGCATTTTGAAGCGTTGACGTCGCACAAGGATATTCTTCTCGAGGGATTGCTTCGCCCATAATACCGGTCCGTAGAGCAATCAGAAGGGACTGCTATCCGTACGGCATCACTGCATCAGTGACCATTGACATGGGGAAGCACCAGGTGGTATGCGTGGCTCGGGGGTATTGCCGCAGCCATCTCAGCCTCTCAAGTCTCGGAGCCCAGTTTGACAGCATGCCGGGGCATATCCATGTCGCTTGCATTGTCACCAATAAGGTAAGGCAGAGATGGAAATAAAACCCGGCGTGCGATGGTGATGAAATCCAACGGCCGCAACCCGGTGAGTGGATGCGATCCAATGACACCAGCTCTGTAAATCCGATCGAGAAGTTTCCATTTGATAGCCGCCAGCATTTACAGGTAGGCGACAACGTGCACACCAGCGAGTCAGAGGATAACATGGCGACAACGCCTGCAGCCTCACCGGTCGCCTACATGTAGGAATGGCGGTGACCGCGGATAGCATGGTGAGCTTCCAACCAGTGGCAAGGCGCATGTGCCGGCCACTTGTATAATCCGGATTGACAGGGTCACAAAGGATCGAGAGCCGCGGACTTGACCAGACCTTGGCGCGAAAAACAAGCCCCCATGTCGAATAGGCTCGATTGGCCATGCTCAAACTGATTGTTGTCGTCCGTAGACCGCAACCCGCCTCGGCAGGTTCTAGCAGAAGACCCCCCCCCAAGATAAGGAATTCACCGATATAGCAATCAATTATCAAGTACCCGAGCGGCTAGCCGTCCGTCAATTAGTATTTCTGGGGTCAGAGGATTGGCTTTCCAGGTTCCCCAGCTTCCTGTCAACAACAGGCCCCGCCCAGAGTCCAGACATACCTATTTCTTCGCCGCACCTTATCGATCGAGCTATGCGACAATTCCCCTGACTGCTTTCAGCATGGCGTAGCCTATGGCCATGCCAGTTTCCCGTGTGATTTAATAGTCTTGCGAAGTGATCTGGCAAATGTGCCATGTGCGCGGCCTCCCATACTTTCCAGTTGTGGCGTTTCTCTATCTGCATTGTGCAAAGAGCCTAGAGTTGGGTAGAGTAGTACTCGTTTGGGCGACACGGCACGGCACGGCACGAAATTTCAAGGTCTACTAGTTGCATACTATCCTCCGGGGCACAGCCAACGCTGCCGAGTCAACCGGCAGAATCAAGATTGGTCATGCGTGACTCAATGCGGGCAGACATGAGCGACCACCGAGGTGAATGTCGTAAGGTACGGTCACCGAAGCATGAGTGCGTACGTGCTGGCGCCGGCATCGTGCACCCCTGCTGACGGAGCGACGATTGCCATGCCCCTCGGCGGAATTCAGAGCATCAGACGCAGGGGTAGCTTGCGATCACCCAAGGGGTCTAACGCAGGCCAGGATAGGTTGATTAGAAGATGAGAGGCCCCAAGCCAGACACCGCCCGCCCCGAACAGTTTTGTCGAGATTTCACGGCTGTTGTGGGAGTCGAGATCCGATGCACCAGGCCGGGACATGCTACAGAACCATGTGTTACATGGAATCAGATAACCTTCCGATCATAGCATCTCCCGGGAGGACGACCACCAGCTATGCTGGGGTGGTGGGGTTGGAGCACATCCACTCGGTGTGATGCAGCCTGCGGTATGCAGATCCTCAAAGCTTCGTGTTATGTAGTAGCTCCAGGCTCGGGGCTTCAATCTTCGCAGCGCGAGCCACTGGCTTGTGTATGTCGCGACCGGCTTTTGGGCGTCCTGTCCATGTACCTAACAATATTATGAGGCGGTTGTAGTGTGGCACTTGGATGGCGTTGGGTCAGTGACACTCTTTACGTCTTCGCCCGACAGTATTTGAACATGCCACGTATGCATCCGCCAATAACAAGGGCCTCCATGTCTGCAACGGCCGCTTGCAATATGGATTGTTCTGGAGTCCGAAACAGAGTCGAAATGAACCAGGCCGTGCAGATAGCAAGGGCGTCCGAAAGCAACTGTCAGCGGCGACATCTAGAGAGCGTAGCTGTAGATGTTCCACAACGCGCGTGGCTTGCTTGTCCAACACTTCAGCCTGCCCAACGACGCAAACTGGCCGACTATCCGTACGCTACATGTGCTAGCGAGTGAATTTGACATACCAGCATCGCTGACTTGGTACGTCTTTGTCAGGGTTGACATGTGGGCGGCGGCCTCCACTCGAGAGATACTTGTAGGCATATATCAGTAGCTCGTCTTCTTCCGTCGAGCGTTACGCTGCAACACACAGGCAAAACAATGGGCGCAAAGAGTACCACCCACCATGCAACAGGCAATGCGCAGGCATGGAGAGAAGCAGGAAACCTCGGCCACCTGCGCCGTAGAGGATGATTCGACAAGATGGGTCTGAATCTCTGCCCAGTGGGAATGTAGTGAAACTCATTGACATGCATGATGCACAACTCCTTGAGAGAATGCGGGCGGCAGCATCTTAGACATGGCTTGCAGATAGCAGCAAGCCATCGGCATCCATCCTTGTTGCCAATCATCTGTGGATTGATGTCACTCTCAGAGACGATGTGCAGCATCTGTAAGCAACCGGTGAGGTAGTGTTCCACAAAGCATTCCCATGTCTCTGATGGGCAACCTTGCCGTGGGTCATATTGGCCCCGTTCACCGTTGAGCAACAGGATGTCTGCTTCATCGAATCAAGGGCAGCGATTGGCTTGATGTTTGCGGAGCTCATGCTCCTGAGCTCGGGCTGATGATCAACCAACCCGTGTGCACGGC